CTGTCCTTATAATTTAACCCTTTAACCCTGGTATCATTCTGGTGAATCTACACTATACACTTCCCACCCAGGGCCAATATATCCTTCCTGAGGTACAGTGTTCAAAACTGATCACAATACTCCTAATAGGGTCTGACCAAGACTGTACATCTGAACCATTATTTCCTCATCTTTGTATTCCAGCTCCCTTGAGATAAGGGCCAACATCCCATTAGCCTTTTTGATTACCTTTTGTAGCTTTTAGTGATTTGTGTACATGGACACCCAAATCCCTTTGCTCCTCCATAGTTCCTAGTTTCTCACCATTAAGGAAATATTCTGATTTGTCATTCTTGGATCCATAGTGGATGACCTCACACGTATCCACATTGAACTCCCTCTGCCAGAGTTTTGGCCACTCATTTAATCTGTCAATATCGCTTGGTAACTTTCTGCTCTCATCTACATATTTCCACTCACAGGGCTTTGGGACATCATCTCAATGTGAAAGGCGCTGTACAAATGTAATTTTATTTTGTAAATTTTTTTTTGCATGGACATAACTTACTTTTCTTGCCTCCTAACTTTGTGTCATCTGCAAATTTGGATATACAAATCTCTATTCCTTCATCCAAGTAATGTATATATAATATATTTTTAACTTTTATTTTTGCTAATCTTCGCTTGTGCAGAACTTTATCAAATATCTTCTGTATAGACGACATCCATAGTCACTCCCATATACACCATGTTTGGTGTATACCTCAAAAAATTCAACTGGATTTGTCAGCCATGACTTATCCTTCACAAATCCTTGCCGACTCTCTGTGATCGTCTCACACTTGTCTAACTGCTCTGTCATTCTGATACCGATGATAGATTTCAATAACCTCCACACAATTGATGTTAAGACGACAAGTCTGTAGTTACCTGGTTTCTCCCTCCCTTCTAAAATAACAGAGTGACTTTTGTAATTTTCCAATCCAAGGGCACAATTCACGAATATGGAGGGCTGTGGAAAATTATGACTAATGCATCTACAATTTCCTCCCCTATTTTAATATACTGTTATGGAATCTATCAGGTCCTGGAGATTTGCCTGTCTTGGAAGTCCCATTTTTTAAAAAAAATATTAAGTATATTAAAGCACTTCTCTTTTACTTATTTTTAGGTTCCCTTGTATCACTGATAATTTGTCTTCTTCCTCTACTGTGAAAATGGATGGAAAATATTTATTTAACAAGCCTGCCATTTCCTTATTGTTCATTATAGTCTCACCTGGTCTTCAATGGGCCCACATTCCCCTTTTCCATTCTTTTTCTCTTAATATATTTATAAAAACTTTTACTATTAGCTTTGATATCCCTTGCAAGTTTTCGAATGATCTCTGGAACTCGATCCTGGAGTCTGACAGACTTGTTCCCTCCCTCCTCATTCAAGACCCTTTTCAAAATATACCTCTTTTATCGTGCTTTCAGTCAATTTTCCCTCCCACCCACCTCAGCTCCCACCTCCAGTTAAAGCGCCTAGCCACCATTGTCAAGCACTTTGAAATATCTTCCACATGTGAAAGGCACTATATAAATATAATTTGCATTGTATGGTATAACCTTCCCTGATCCAGTGAAAGGAGTTCTATTTGTTTTAAGTCTCTGTGCATAACTGCAGTATAACCTCTGATCCTCTCTTTTTGTTTTCCTAACTCACTTTATTTCGTGACACAACACATTCTTTGTTTGATCCATTGATCGCATTGAATGAACTCACAAAATTCTGATATCACTTGTAAATTCAGCAACTCTGCTTTCATCAAGATAGCTCATAGATACTGCACTATAAAAGGGGACAAGTTCCAGGAATGATCCCTGTCACTGACATCTAATTAGAACAAGCACGATTCCTCACCAGCCTTCATTTCCCATTAGTTAGACAATTTATTTTTCAATTTACAACATGCTCCTTTATCCCAAGTACTTTCACTTTAGCCACAAATCTCTTGTGATACACCTTATGGAATGGCTAAAGTAAGTTAAGATTTAAAATACCCAACACATTACCCTCATCATTAATTCCGTTCCATCCTCAAAAAATCCCTATAAATTGGTTAGGTACATCTTGCCTTTCATAAACCAATACAAGCTAGGAATTAATTGCCTCTTCTCTGATACAACCTATTGGATCACTTATAACAGCCTCTGGTGATTTGTTTTCCTATTAGGAATGACAAGCAAACTAGGGTACAATTCCCCAAATCATGTATCATGTATGCATGATGTATCATGTATATATCAGATATATGATCCAAATGTATCTGGGGAGGTGTCTGATACATGTATTTGGGGAGGTATCTGATCCAAATCAGATACCTTTCCAAATAATGATCTAATAACTTAGATACTTATTTGGAGAGAACAAGTTTTCAGGGCTATGGAGAGAGAGTGGGGGCGTGGGATTGAATTGGATAGCTCTTTTCAAGGAGCCGCACAGACACAATGGGCCAAACGGCCTCCTTCTGTGCTGTATAATTCTATGATTCTATGATATATTTTTAAAAGTTGGCTGGTTCTTTTCCAGTATTCTCCGATATTTTATATTTATGTATTTAATAGACTTTCCTTATTCCCCAGTTAGTGGCATTATCACCTTTGCATACATTTGTTTTGCATTAACATCCACTGTAACATTCTCTTGCTTAGGTCAGTGACCTTCTTACAATTTTTCTCCTGCCTTTCCTTATGGGTTGTCAACCTCTTTCTCCTATGAGTCAGCAGGGTATGGGTTCAGGCCACACAAGTCAAGACTTTAAGCTCCCAGTCTGGAACCTGACACTGCAGTGCAGTGCTGGAGGAGTGCGGGACTGTCAGAAATGCTTTGGATGAAACATTAGTGCAAGATCCTGTCTGTTCAAGTGGACTTTAAAGATTCCAAGGCATTATTTAAAAAAGAGAAGGAAGTTTCTTGCAGTTTGCTGTTCAACAATCCTTCAGATAGAATGGATCATTCACTTCACGACTATTTGTGGGTCACTGCTGTACACAAATTGGCAATCATGTTTAGCTGCAAAATACATAGTCACTACAAGTTTCACAAACTTCGTGAAGCACTGGGAGATGTTTGATATTTTAGGAGCTATATCAAACACAAAGATTATGATTATTTCCAATGGAACCAAATGGATCAGATATTTGTGTTCCTTGGAACAATCACAGCAGGGTCTTCCTTTTCTTGTGCATTTCTTCCCAACATCACATAGAATGATCCAGGAATTCTCCTGATGCAATATGTTTTTCTCATTGTCACATGAATACTTTTTTCCCCTTCCTTCATGATTTCCTTTAAATAATACAACCCTCCTTATTGTATGGGTCAAATTTTGCATCCTGTATAAAATTTATCCCATCAAATTGCCTGGAAAGAGAAAATACCTCCCCACCACCTTATGTAGGGGAAGAAAAATGTTTGCTTGCACAAGATGTGATTAACATCATATGAACCACAAAGTTGATCACAATATATTTTCCCTGCTCACCGGACCTCCCAACTCTTCCCTCCACAAGTTGCAGATTTTTCAGAACTCAGTTTCGTAACTCTATCACCCACCATCCTCGCCCGGCTTCACCGGCTCCCCATCCCCTGGCTTCACCGGCTCCACATCCCCCAGCTTCACGGGCTCCCCATCCCCCGGCTTCACAGCCTCCCCATCCCCGGCTTCACGGCCTCCCCATCCCCCGGAGGATTAGTTCAAGATCCTCATTCTCACCTTTAAAGCTCTACCCTATCTCTGCCACCCACTAAACCTTTACCAACCTGTCCACTCCTTGCGCTCGGTGTGGGCACCGGCCTGCTCCATCAGTAGTCGAGCCTTCAGCCTTTCTGTTCCACCCCCTGGAACTCCATCCCGGAGCCCCTCTGCCTTGCCCCCCCTCCCTTGCCTCCTTCAGGACCCATCTTAAGACTTTCCTCTTCAACCTGCCTGCGGTCATCTTCCCACCCCATCCTCCCTTGCCCTCCAACACTCTTGATTCCAACCTCCATCTCAGGTGCAAACCCTTCACTGTCCAGCACCTAGGGAAAATCTCCTGACATTAAAGGCACTATATAAATGCAATTTGTTGTTTTTTTCACAATGCATTTGATAGAATCAGAATGTATTTTCTATTTTGTTTCTCTATAAGTGTTTGGCAATCTTTGCCCGGTTCACATCCACTCTCATTTCCAAAATGACGTTAATGTTGATCTATTACTTTATTAATAATTGTAATAATCTCCTGAGAAGGAAAAACAGCTAACATAGAAAATAAGCTTTGATCCATAAAACCAATTATGCCTGACGTCAAGAGATTTAATATCAATGCATTTCTGTATAAATAACACTCTGTATTATTACAATGTAATACTGAACAATACACTCTTCACAAACAATGAAAAGGCAGTAGCTAGTTCCAACATCATGTTGCTCAGTTTGAATAGCTCCCATGGTGATTTTCCTCTATGTGCATATCAGCCTGCCTCAGTTGGCAGCATTCGCTTCTGAGTCCGAAGGTTTTGAGTTCAAACCCCACATTGGAATTTTGATCTCACAGTATAAAGGTCAGGCTTAAACTAAGTCTAAACATTCAGTTACCTATACTATCAAAATTCATGTTCATTATAACTTACAACATCTTGAATGGGAAAAGTATCTTTTAAGCTCTAAAATTGGGGTAAACAATGGAAATTCCACCTAGTCTTATCATTTTATCTTAAAATTTATGATCCCACAGAATTGTGGAAAATTCTTCAATTCATTCCTAAGTTGAAAGCCAGATCTTGCTAAAATTGTGGAAAACTGGCTTCCAAATTAGAACTGAATTGAAGATTTTTTCCAAACTCTGCAAGACCTTAATATTTTACGACAGACTAGGTGGAATTCAGGCCTACACTGTTATAGCATTGAGTTTGCAGCAATATTAGTACACTAATAAGGAGGAGATTTACACATAAAGTGAAGCATCAGTGAGGTCTAGTTGGGAAGTTCTTACCTCCTCTCTTGTTCAGTTTAGCATAGCCAGGTACATAACTGCTTGACATCACAGAGGAGCTTGTGAAGGAGGGGTGAGGAAGCGTCACAATCAGTGGTGTATCGCATTTCTCTGAAAAAAAGAGATTGTTCACTTTAGCATCAATCTTACAGAATGAGGCAAAATAGCAAAGCAATGTAAGCAAAGCAAATAGCAAAGCTTTCACTGATTCATTTCAGATATAATTATTTCAGTACTTCTCAAGAGTAAACATTTTGTGCAATGTAATCACACTTTTGCATGAATGACAAAATACTTCCTAACAGGCATTTGTGCACACACATTTCTATATCTTTTCTGTCTATTTTGCTCATTATACATAACTGAGGATAATTTCAAATGGTTAAAAATTCAAAACAATACTAGCGGGCAACATGTTTCCAATTTGGTTGAATACATTAGCATTAAAAACATCCCCAAAACTTTCATTTCTGATTCAAAATAGGTATAAACAGTTTCCCACATTTGTCAAAGGCATGCTATTGATCAAAAGATCCAAAATGTCTGAACCCTATACAAAAATGAGAGATCCTCTTCAAAAATTATCCTCAAAATACATTTGGAAAGGCTCACAGGTGGTATTACAACAGGTTAAACCGGTGTCCTGTTGCTTTGGCCCTGGTTTAAATTCAGCCTTGAGTTATGGAACAGAATCTTTTCACTGTGCTTGCCATCAGAGTGATTATAGAAAGTAATGTGGAGGCATTAAACCTAACACCTAATGCACAAAGCTGCATAGATATAAAATTGCCTCTGATGTGGCAAGTGTGAACCTCTGAGTGCTAAAAAGATAGACTTCTGTCGGAAATGGAAAATTCAGCAGGTCTGAGAGCAGACATAAATGTTAACTCATTTTCCTCTCTCATAGAAGCTGCCTGACCTGCTGCCTGTTCCCAGCAACTTCTGTTTGTATTTCAGATTTCCAGCATCTGCAGTATTTTGCTTTTTATTTAATACCCCTTGTGTTGAACACTGTACTAGTTTGATAAACCTGAGAAAATAACCAACAGAATCAGCAGAATATAATGCACATTAGCATTTTACATTCAAGAAGATTGCAGCTGTGTGTGAATAAGAGTCAATAGTGCCTTTATGTGTGTGAAACTAATATTTTCAAGGTGGTTTAAATTATTTGATTCAGTTTGAATATGATTAACTAGATTTTAAAATACGTTTCAATTTGTTTTAAAACAAAATAAATCAGGTCTGAAGAATGCAGATTTGCTAATTGAGTTGGTAAATTACCAGTGAATTATTAAACAGCGATCTCTAATTTGCAAATTATAGTTTGAATCCCCACATTAGGGAGGGCATTCACTCATCTTATCTTATTGCTCCTATGGTTGTCAATGGTAGACACTGGGCTTAGTATTCGAATCCATGTTCATGGGCTGAATAGAACTGCCCAGTTATGCTGCTGAGTCTCTGTGGGCAGCTTCTCAAGGATAATAAGATTTGGCACTTTCATCTCTATGGCTTCGGTTGAATTCCCAGTCAGGGAGTGAAAATGTTACATTGATTAACTCTTTCCATAAAGCACTGGGTTAGGATTTGGTTGGGAATAGCACAGAAGGTTACAGGGAAAGTATTGACTGAAATGAACAAATACTACGGCGGGAGGCAAGAATCTATGGATGACTGAAGGTCACAACAGAATAGTGGACATCAATGAACGATCTAAAGTGTTTTTTTATCTGGGGGATGAAAGTTTACTGATACAGAATTTTCCCTATGAGACTGAAAGGCCTTGAATTATAGAATCATAACCACGTAGAATGGTGCTTGTTCACCTAGGACTATCTATCTGTAGTTCAGAGCCAGGTAGACATGATTTGCTGACTCCTCCCTTGAGAGCTTGTTTTTATTCATTATAAATCAACCTTCTAAAAGGGGAGAGTGAATGGACCATTGGGATTCAGACTCTGGGCCTTTTTGTTCTAGGTCCAGTACTCTGCTAGCTGAGACTATGGGAGAACACACTGAGAAATACTGAGACACAGACAGTTGCCTGAAAGTCACTATGTTTAGTGGCATGAAAACAACCTACCAAACTTAAACTAAATAGAATGTTTTTTTCAGATCAAAAGGCCAGATCAAACAAAGAGAAAGTGAAGGGGTTTAGCAAGTACTGTACAGGATAGATGGAAGAAATGGGACTAAAGGAAGTTCAGTCACAAATCCATTGGTTTACACCTTGGTCCATTCAAAACAACTTTTAACTTTTAGCCATTTCTGCCCCAAAATGGCAGCTCACTCCCAGAAGAGCACAAATTCATCTACAAACACCTTCATCTAGCAGACAATAACAACAACAACAAGATTCCATTTATTGAGCGCCTTTCACGTCGGGAGGACGTCCCAAGGCGCTGGACAGTTGGGTCAGGACCCGAGCAGTGGGGAAATGGTCAGGGTGAGGGGAGGGAAGGGAGGGAGCGAGGAGGGGGTAGAGAGTCGAGAGGAGAGCTGAAGGCACGGTCAAAGAGGAAGGTCTTGAGACTGGCCTTGAAGGAGGAAAGGGAGGAGGCGGCGAAGGCACTGGGGGATAGAGTTCCAGAGCCTAGGGGCTGAGAGGCTGAAGCCCCGGCCACAGATGGTAGGGCGGTTGGGGTGGGGGATGTGGAGCAGACCGGAGCCAGAGGAACGGAAGGTATGGGCAGGTAGGTCGGGGGTTAGTAGGTCGGAGAGGTAGGAGGGAGCAAGGCCCTGAATGGCCTTGTAGGTGAGGATGAGGATCTTGAATTCGACACCACAAATATGCCAAATAGACTAACAGCAACTTCTCTTTACTGTTCACTCTGCAAATTTATTGATGATAACTCAGGGGCATAAAACAGTCTACATCCTCATCTCACAAAGTGACGCGAGCAAGGGCTAATTTGCCTGATGCTCCCACATCCATCCTTCCTGATACAAACCACAAACCACTGCCCAGACAGTTATAACTCAATTGTTTAGTCCTTTGCATAACAACACATTTATAATTCATAATAAATACATTTGAAGATAATCTTCACTTAAACCAGCAGCCAAGTAAAATTCTCAGAAACAAATCAAAATGCTCAGAAACAAAATTACAAAAGGTTCAAAACAATATACTTGAAGCAACTAGAACCATCACTTCGTATTGCACTTTTGGATGAGAGCTACACAACAGCAAAGTTTACTGTGTGCTTTAAATCAAACTCATTCATGTAGGCAACATAATAACAAGCTGATCCAGTCAAGTATCCCTTAGAATCCTGACAATTATACACATTTTTGACTCAGAAGCGAGAGTGATACCAACTGAGCCAAGATGACCCAGTGGTATCTACGGGCAATCTCAAAAAAAGGCAAGTGAGAAAATTCATCTGATATAACTCTCACATGTGAGGCTAAAGAAACACGTAGAATAGTAAAGAAGCAGTTCATATATTTTTAAATGGTAGTAAATCATGTTTCACATGCTGAATACATATAAATACAAGGGAAGTAAATGCAGCAGCACAGATTCCTCTAAGCGAGGCAGAGTTTTGAGAGATCATAGTAGGCAAATTTAGGTCATTCTAATGTATAATTCAAATGCATTTTCTTAGGAGATGGATCAAGTGTTTTATGTGTTGCACTGAGGTAATAGGAATGGCTGAACAAATCTAAAATGACTATGGGAAGAATGGATTATTTGAAGTGAGCAGCTGCCAGGGACTGGGAAAAGGTTATGCAGATGGTGGGGAAAAAATACGTTTAACAAACGTTAAATTATTCAGCAAAATGTCATAAACTCTCAGAAAAAAATGCTGTAGGAGGTTTTAATTTGGTGCTGTTCAGTTTGAAATAAGAGTTGTCTAAGGTGTTAAGATAAATGCTTGTAGCAGCTGAATGCTGTGCGAATTGTGTATTGTGCAATAAACTACATTTTACAATGTAATAAAATCATTCTTGAAGCTCATAAAAGGATGTACAGTAATTACAATATAAAGTCAGGAGTAATAAAAGTTTACTGTCTTTTCTATGAGTGCTTTATTCAGTCAACAAAGGGACATGAGCAATCTCTGTGGGTAATGAGAGAGTAGCAGCCTGATAGATGATTCTCGTTACCAGCTCCGCAAAAATACGCCAATTAAGCCAAAGTGGAATTAAATATCTTTTCAACGTAAACAATACAATTAAGCAGCAGAAATACTTGACAGATTGAAAGCCATTTGTCAGTATGCTTCCTTTTAATCAATTTGTTCACCTCACAATTTGGCAAGCTTCACTTTTGACCAGGAAGGAACTTTTTTAAGCCATCCGTCAACTGCTTCTAAAGGACAAGGAAAGCCCTTTGTACAGCAACCAACTCTGACAGAGAAGATTGCTGGGCTAGAATTCAAGCTTTGTAAATTAACATTTTCTCCAACAATAGATGAGTTGAAAAGCGCTATTCAATGTAATTTGTTGTTGAGTTCAGAGGAATTTGGTAAATTGGCACTGTGGAACTTATATTCAGCTTTTTTTTAGTAGGCTGGGAATCTGACACACGTGGATACCCATCACCATGCTTATGAGTATTCAAACCAGATTGAATGTCCTCATAAGTATTTCACCTATATGAAAAAATTGTTTTGTGCCTGGAATGGAATACACACTCTCTTCCGAAGGGTTGCACCTTGCCTACCTAGTTTGAGAAAGCGTTGAATGCAGATCAGTAAGAGCCAGGGCTAAAGTACCCAGAAGTGTGTTCAGGTATTGCCCGAGTTTAACTAGTTATAAGTACACTGTCTGTCAAACTCTCTGCTGATTATCCAGCTAGGACCATCTTATCCATTGGGGCTTTGGCTTGCAGGGTTAACAGGAGCTAATTAGGAAGAATCCCTATCCCTGTACATTGTGCTATATTATACATGTAATGACATTTTTGGAAAAGTCCTAAACAATGAAAATGAAATACTTTATGCCCATAAAACGTGTGCTTTGCGGGCATTCTTATTGATAACCTATTTCTGGAGCTTGTCATTAGAGAAGAGAGTTTCTTCCAGGATCCTGGCCAACAAATCCCCCAAATAATAATGGTAATTTACTCCAAGACTGTTTGTGAGACATTGCTGTGTGCT